GGAGTGAGGGGCACCGGCAGAGCTGGGTGGGGGCAGCGCTGGGCTAACGGGGCTGCGGGTCGGGAGTGAGGGGCACCGGCAGAGCTCTCTCTCTCTCCGGTCCCTAGCTGGTGTGCTCTGATCAGCGAGACGGCCGGGTCTCTGAAGCTGCCGGGTTCCAATCGCCAGAAACCGCGTCGTGCTGCCACGAGTCTGTCAGCCCCATACAGCCCCAGCTAGTGAGTGCAGCAGGCGTGTGGGGCTGGGGCGGGGCTGGGGGCTGGTTATACCGGGACCCCTTGTCTGGCAATGGGATGCGGCTGGCTCTGGGGTGGGGCACTGGAGTCGGTTATACAGGGACCCCTCACCTGGTTCTGGGATGCGGCTGGCTCTGGGGTGGGGCCGGGGGGCGGTTATATGGGGAGTTATTTTTTTGGTGGGGGAGACTGTTCTTCCTTTCTTTGTTGACCCCCCCACTTCCCCCTCCTCTGCCTCCTGCAGCTACCGGGAGCCGCTGCTGAGTAGCTCGGAGAACGGGAACTCTTCCAAGGAGACGCTGCACTCGGACGGTGAGGGGGGGCTGGGGGGTGGGATAATGGGCAGCACCCACTGCCCCTGGCCTGGGGAGAAGCCATCATGTGCTCCCTCCCTCCCTGCCCCCCCAGGCCAAGGCAGGGAGCCAGGGGACTTGTTGGGGGATGGGACAGCTATGTGGTGGTGGGGATCAGGACTCCTGGGTTCCGTGGTGGCTCTGGGGGGGGGGGGGGGGACCCCGGGGCCCCGGGGGCGCCCCGGGGGGGGGGGGGGGGGCCCCGGGGCGCGGGGGGGCGGGGGGGGGGGGGGGGGTGTCAGGACTCCTGGATTCTGTGGTGGCAGGACTCCTGGGTTCGGTGGGGGTCCCACGGGGGCTGACTGTCCCCTGCCCCCCAGAGCGGGAGAAGGACGGTGCGCTGGAGGGGATGGAGTTTGAGGAGCGCAGTCTGGAGAAGCCGGAGAAGGACTCGGAGCGGATCCTGGCGGAGCTGCTGGCTCTCCACAAGCCCCAGACGGTGGGGTGTGAGGGGGGGCTGGCAGCTGCCACGCTGGAGAGAGGTGAGACCCCCCCCCGAACCTCCCAACCTGCCCCTCTGCTGCAGGGTGCTTGGGGTGAGCTGCCTGACCCCTGGGGCTGGGGTCTGACCCCCAAGTTGGGCTGGGTCCCGTTGGGTGGGGGGGCCTGGGTGAGCAGGCCTGTGGAGGGAATCCCCCCATCTGACCCTCCCCCCCAGTGTCTGCGCTGAAGAGGCTGCTGGTCGGGGGGTCCCCCCTGCCGGAGGACGGGGACCCCGGCTCCCCTGAGGACGGCTGGCGGCGGGCGCCGGAGAACAGGGGCACCGGAGACGAGGATGAGGAACGGGACGCGGGTGATGGCGCCGAGAGCGAGGGGGGGGCGCCAGGTATGAGAACAGCATGCTGGGAAATGGTGGGGGGCGATGGGAGCAGGGGCTGATGGGACATGGGGGAGGAGAGGGGCATGCTGGGAAATGGGGG